GGTTTGGCACGGGTGCAATACAGCACCGCTATGTCCCTGCATTTTAAATCTGTAATATCTTCGGAAATATTTATTTAAATTACATGCTTTAAACGGCCATACTGATCTATATTAAATGGACAATGTATTTAAAATACTTAATTGGATGAAAATTAAAAATTAATGCTGTATTACTTAAAATCTCTTCGTAAATAAGCCATTTTTTTCCGTAAAATGTAAAGGATAAAAAATGATTATTGTGGGTTATCCTTAAGAGATAGACGTATACTATCGCGGACATTTTTGTTGACCTTTTTAAGGTGTACAATACTGTAGTACATTATTTTGATTTATCTCGTGAGGTTCAGCCAGCGTTTGCAATGTAAGCGCAAGAAATGTGTTTGTTTACGACATCACATTAGAAACCTCTAAATTTATCAGTGTTTCACTGCAATATTATGCATGTATTATACATATAATTTTTTCTCTTAATTTGCTTTATCTATTAAAAAAAAACCGCTTCAAAATCCGTTGTGTAGTTTTAAAGATTTAAGCATACATAGGGACGGACAGACAACGACAGCGACTTCGTTTTATACTATGTAGTGAATAATCGTGCTGTAGTCTAAAATAAATTATTTTTTATGTAAATACCTGCACACACTAATATTTTATTGTTGAGGCACACAATCGGGTTCGTGCTCGCGTCGCAGTCGCTTATGACTAAGGATCACGAATTTATTCCGAAACTAATTGAGTTTTTTTCGATCTAATTACACTTAAGTTAAACCGGCAGTTATTACATTAAAATACACTAATATTATTTAGATTTATCATCATATCAGCTTTTAACTGTCCACTGCTGAACATAAACCTTCCCCAAATGGGTTTTTTTTGATGGGTGAAAATGGTATGGTAACCCCGCCTGCGCTAACGGGATACGCTGGCGGGGCACCAGTGAAGGGTGATAGATGAGAATGAAAACAGGCCAGTTAGCCCATCACAATGAATTCATCAGGAATTAACCATGATAGTTTCCAGGGGGACCGCGTGGGGGTCGACCTGGTTGGTTATAATCTCATTCCCCCCCAAATGGGGGTTATGCCAGTAATTGCTTATAGGTTTTGGTGATGTTTTAGGAGGGACACTGTTGCACGGCGACGATGTCTCCGTACACTGGGGGGAAGTGATTGTTAGTAATGGAGTCAAATAGCCCCATTACTAGCAATATATCCTGTCAGGTCGGCCTTCACGCGGTTCCCCTGGAAACCATCATGGTTAATTCTAGTTGAATTCGTCACGATGGGCTAACTGACCTGTTTTCATCACCTATCATCCTTCACTGGTGCCCCGCCGGTGTATACCGATAGCGCGGGTGAGGTTACCATGCCATTATCACTCATTAAAAAAAAGTCTTTATACACTGTGTAATGTGTAATATAAACTATTATTATATAAACTACCAGAGGGAGACTTGGTACAAAAGTCGTTTGCTTGGGCACCTCTGTCCCATTCGTGTTTCTACCGTGAAGCAGTTGTGTTTGCATGGCTGTGTTTCGGTTTGAAGGATGGGATATGGCGTAAATTTACAGGGTACAAAGGAATAACACCTGAGTCCTCAGGAATGGCAACATATGGAGGGTATTATGGACAAAACAGTATACTCTGTTATGTCCATGGTACTGTTTATGTTTGCATGCAAACATGCGACGATTACCACTTTCCATTAGGTGAATATTCAGCTTGTTTGGCATTCTTAGTTGCACAAAAAAGAATTTTTAGCTGCGGCCTTGTCCGAGTTCGCATTATGTTCATTCGGGTTAAGTTGTCTAATATATTTTATTCAGAATATTTGCAATAATTATTAAAATAAGTAGCGATTAAGGGAGAAAGGGATTGTTAGTAATAGATTGGAACACCCCCATTGCTTGCAATATACCCTGTCAGGTCGACCTCCACGCGGTTCCCCCTAGAAACTATCGTAGTTAGTTATTGTTGAATTCATTCTCACTTATCATCTCTCACGGGTGCCCCGCTAGCGTATACCGGTAATGCAGGCGGGATCACAATAGCATCTTTTTTTTTATACAACTTAGAATGGCAAACAAGCTGACGGTCCACCTGATGGAAAGTTGTTAATCGTCGCCTATAGACATGAGCAGTACCATGGACATAACAGAGTATACTGTTTCGCCCATGATACCCCCCATGCGTTGCCATTCCTGAGGACTTAGGTGTTATTCCTCCGTACCCAGTAAATTCACGCCATATCCCACCCTTCAAACCGAAACACAGCCATGCAAACACAACTGCTTTACGGTTGAAACACGAATGGGACAGAGGTACCCAAGCAATCGACTTTTGTATAAAGTCTCCCTCTGGTAAACTATATAATAAACTATGTTATAAAAATCGATTCATAATTATTTATTTAAACACATATCATTGCTACGAAAAAAAAATTAAGTAGAGAGCTCTTCGAAATCTCCTGTTGTTAAAATCTCAGTGGAGAATTGTTAACGCGGAATTCAGTGATAACGAATAAGTTTAGTCTCTAAATGTATGAATAAGTTCAAACTAAATAATTATGTAATAACTAGATGACCCGGTAAACCTCTTAACATTTATAACGCCATCTGTTGAATGGAATTCGAAGTAGCGCATTCCATACAAAATTACCTATTTACAATTTTTCAATTTTTTTAGCTTAGCATTAGGATGTCTCTAACTTTTTTTTCTTTACTTCTAAATCACCCCTATATATATATATATATATATATATATATATATATATATATATATATATATATATAAATAAAACAAAAAAAATCTAATCATTTAAACTATTTTTGAAAATTTGCGATGATAAAAAAACAGCAATTGTTTCATAAATATAAAAAGATATATCGATAATTGATCGAACAGATAACAAATTTACGGATACCGTGTTTGTGTCGAGAAATTTTGTTATAAAAATCTATTGACGGTAGATGTGAAAATTTGTTAGCAATCGACGTGCACGTCGCTGCCTCGCTCCCTCCGCTCGGTTCCAATCTGCCTACGGTCTTTGTCCGTGTTACAACTATTCTGACGTCGTCGGTGAAATTTGGTAAGTACTTTATTTAATAAATTAAAATTGTTTATTAGTAGTTATTAATAACTTTTTATATATTAAGTATGTATAATTAAGTCGTTTCCGTGACATTGTTATATATTAATAATTTATTTTTAAAGATAGAAAAAATAGTTGAATAGCGTGGTACGCGTTCGGGGTTCTCAAACGGCTCAAATATGGAGATCGCCATTTTATACACCAGAGGGAGACTTTGTACAAAAGTAGATTGCTTGGGTACCTCTGTCCCATTCGTGTTTCAACCGTGAAGCAGTTGTGTTTGCATGATATGGCGTTAATTTACTGGGTACGGAGGAATAACACCTAAGTCCTCAGGAATGGCAACGCATGGGGGGTATCATGGGCGAAACAGTATACTCTGTTATGTCCATGGTACTGCTCATGTCTATAAGCGACAGTTACCACTTTCCATCAGGTGGGCCGTCAGCTTGTTTGCCATTCTAAGTTGTATAAAAAAAAATTATGATTTATTTTTGATTATACGTGAACAGATTTTTACGATATTTTTTTCATAATAATATTGTCACGATGAACGTTTTAGATTTTTTTTTGAGAAAAAAGTATTGGGTTTGATTTTGGGATGCCATGTTGCAAAGCAAAATATATTTATAGAATTGCGATTACATAATTTTTAACGCTAGGTGTTTACGAAATATTTTCTTGTTTATAAGTGCGTTATTATAATGTAACTTTTTCTTTACTTGTTCGTTTTACTTTTATTTATTTATTTAATCTTTATTGAACAATTAAATGTGGTACAATATTTTATTTATATAATTATATATTTTTTTTATACATAACTTCGTCTTATTAAAGTTATTTTTAAGAAGTGCTCTTAGCTTAGTTTCATAAAAAAATATCAATATCGGTTTACTTTTTAGATAAAAGGTTTTGTCACGATCGAAGTCAGTTTGTCGGTCCGTCCGTCCGTCCGTCTGTCACAGTGTTCTCAGCAACTATTAATGGTATCGATTTGAAATTTTGAATGGTCTTACATATTGCTAGCCCACACATATTTCAATAGAAATAATAAGAAAATTTTTTGTATTTTTTTGCTAGGGGGTTTAAAAGTGGTACTTCTATTTTCAAAATTGGCACAATAGTCCAAATGGAGTATTATATGAAAGGGATTCATTTCTATATTTCAAAACTAATTTTTATTTATTTTTATGCTAACTCCCCCCCCCCCTCCCCTAACTCCGACATTTGTGGAGCGAAAAATTTGAATTTAACAAATATTTTTAAAAAAATATTACAATTTATAAAGATATATATAAATATTACAGGAAAAATACAACAAAGTTACTAACTAATATAGTTTTTGAGAATTTATTTAAAAAATACTTGCTAAGTTTGTTGGCGGTCAGTGTTTAACCACAAATATTAATAGTAATAACTATTAGTTGTCTATTTCGTATAAGAAATACAATAACGGTGATTTTATCTCATATTTATATAAGTATATCCCTTCAGATAAAAAAAAAATATCATGTCAGTTTAGGGAATGACGAGGTAACAAACTTAAAAAAAAATGCAACCGTACTGAGTACCCCTTTCTCTTTGAAGTTGATTAAAAATAAGGAAGTAAGGATAAAAAAAAATATTTAAGTAAATATTTAATGTTACTTTAATACCAATAAATGGGCTATAAAATATTCCCATCCTTTCTCGAGGGTGTCGTAAGAGGAGAATAAAATTTTAATCGTCGAGGCATGGGCAGCAGCACCTGTTTTAAAACATCACCTTAAACTAACTGTGGTCGCCAACCAGTATGTCAACCAAGACAACTACTGACAAAACCATCCAAAGGAGAGGTCTATATTCAGAAGTTACCGGTTAATATCATGATGATGGTAAAATAAAAATATATATTTGTTTCTATTTACAGTACAGAAAGTAAGCGGAACGGGTTCAGTGTTGATCAGGGCTTCAAATTAAATTGCGGTAAAGTAAATTGCGGTAGCACCATCCAAGAGTGAAGACGCAGCTTCGAGTCTACAGGGAACCGGACGCAGCAGCGGTGCAGTTGGCGTATGGACAACGGACGACGAGTGACCAGGTCATCGAAGACCAGCAAGAAACAGCGGATTGATATAACAATGCTTCGTTCTACCAAGACTGTTAAAAAATCGAAGAAGCATCCTGTCACGTAAGTTGTAATCCCGTTTGCTGTATTAATTCCTGATCTTATTATAAAAAAATTACATTTCCGACAAACATACCGTAGATAGGTACATGTTTAGGCGTCTTAATAACTATGTCTAACAATTGTTTATGTAAAACAAAGTGTCATTAAAAATAAAAATAAAATGTTTAAGGAATAATAACTTCATTTCAGTATCATATAAAATCATATAGCTACTATCATTTACTATTTATTATATTATTACTGTTTATTATTACAAAGGTTGCCTGGAAGAAATCGCTCTTATCGATAAGGTCGCCCATTGTTTTCTCATTGTGATTATTTCTTGTAATTGTTTATATCTATAATAAGTTTACTATTGTAATCTTTTGGAGGAAACAATAAAGAGTATCTATCTATCTATATTATTTTTGCACTATATATGTTATGCCTTATATACAAACCCTATAGAGCCTTTCTCCTTTCGGGTTCTCAAGGTTGACTGGAAGAAATTCCTTTAATGGATAAGTTCGCCTGTGTACATTTTTGTTATGACCTAATATAAATAATATATCTATATTAAACGTAAAAGCACAAAAACATATAAATAAATAACCATTGCCAATTAAAAAAAAAAAATTATTACAAACATTTTTTTTTATACAACTTAGAATGATAAACAAGCTGACGGCCCACCTGATGGAAAGTGGTAACCGTCGCCTATAGACATGAGCAGTAGCATGTACATATCAGAGTATACTGTTTCGCCCATGATACCCCTCATGCGTTGCCATTCCTGAGGACTCAGGTGTTATTCCTCTGTACCCTGTAAATTCACGTGATGGCGTGAAGTGAAAACTTATCACAAACTTCATAGAACAATGTAAATAGCTGACCATACATATATATATCTCTATATAAAACATCTAAATCGTATTGTTAATAAGTAGGATAACGCCATCTGGTGACAAAATTTTCTAGTCCACTTTCATTATAATATAGGAAAACCCCTGACGTTGCTTAACTGAAGACTGGCTTTTAAGTAATTTTTAACCGTCTTAAAAAAAGGCTTATTTCGTTCTCATTCGGTTATATTTTTTTTATGTTTATTACCTTACCACTCCGTCAGTTGTAAACCGATTTGGAAAATTATTTTTCTAATCCGAAAGGATGTACATATAGATTTTATTTTTATTTCAGCCACTTTAACTGTTCACTGCTGGACATAAGCCTTCCCTATAAATGGGAGTTTTGCCAGTAGATGCCACACTTGGCAAATACATTGGATTGGTACAAATTTAATAAAATCGATTCAGTAGTTAGATTTTTAAATCAAAATAACGAGTGTTACCACATTTAAAGTCTTATTATTAACATTATGTTTAAATGCAAAAGTTTGTAATGAAAAATGGATGGATAAATTAATGTACGTTTATTACTCTTTCACACAAAAACTACTGAACGGATCTGAAAGAAATTTGGTACACGGGTAGGTTATATCCTAACTCAGCGCTTAGTTTACTTACTGATTCACGCGGGCAAAGACGCGGGATACAGATAGTCGTGACTAAATGACGAAACACATCGTTATTTTTGAATAAATTCTGTAAATATGGGTTTAACTAATTGTTCAATTGATTATTGTAACAGGACATACCTCCCTACAACTCTACGCCGTCTGCTCCCTCACCCCTCGTCCACCCCTATACAATGTCTAGAACAATAAGACTAACCAGTTGTTACTTTAATACGAGGTCTGTCCGGAAAGTTCGTATAAAAGTGTTCTGGAATGCGAGAAAGAGGAGTGGGGAGGCCAGGTAAGCGCAGGACCCCTTCCTTATGTCCCTAACAATGCTTCAGTTCTGGTCTGACCGCCGTGCGGTGCGAACTGGCTTGTCACGCCATCTGTGAAGTTACCTCTTAACGAAACCCCGTCGGCATGGAGCCCGCTTCCGTTGAAGAGCAGCGCGTCGTAATCAAGTTTCTCTCGAAACTCGGCAAGAATGGCCGTGAAATTTTTGCCGATCTCAGAACAGTTTATGGGGATGATGCTGTGAAGGAACCAACCGTCCACAAGTGGCTAAAAAGATTCAGAGAGGGCCGAGAAAGCGTTCAAGATGACCCACGTTCAGGACGTCCTTCCACTTCACATTCCGACGAAAACGTGGAAAGAATTCGAACTTGTGTTAATGGGGACCGTCGTTTAACGGTCAGACAGGTGGCTGAAGAGCTTAATTTGGGCAAAACCGTGGTCCACGAAATTCTAAGAAACGAACTTCAAATGAAAAAAATTTGCGCCAAGATCGTTCCGTGAGTTTTTGAGTAAAAATTCCATTACGGTGACCGAACACCCCCCCTATTCGCCGGATTTGGCCCCGTGTGACTTCTTCTTGTTCCCAAAAACCAAATTGGTACTTCGGGGGCGGCATTTGGGGGACATAAATGAGATAAAAAAAGCTACGACGGGGCAGCTGAGAAACCTACAACCAGAGGACTTTCAAGGAGCCTTCTCACAGTGGAAACGGCGTTGGCACAAGTGCATTATGTCACAGGGGGAGTACTTTGAAGGGGATAAAATTGATTTACCTGAATAATTGTAAAATAAAATTTTTAAAAAACTTTTATACGTACTTTCCGGACAAACCTCGTATAGCGCGCAAAATGGCGTAGATAAATATTTAACAAAGAAATACTCATTAGCGTCGTACACGGTCTAAAAATAATAATTTTATTGATTTTGCGGGTTGCTGCGGTCACTTACCATCTGGTGAGCCGCATGCTCGTTTGCCCCGTGTGTTATATAATAAATCAATTTATATGGCAAATATTTCACCAACGACGACGGCAAAGTAGGACTAGGTCCTATTTAATATTTAGAGGGGTCCGAGTGAGCCATGCCCACCTTAGATTACTATAATACCCACCCCAGGATGTGAACAAAGCTTCGCAAAGATACGTCTGAGAGTGCCTTTTTAAAAGGCCAGACCGCTTCTGTCCCTCTGAAAAATAACCTTAAAAACACGAATGCCTTTTTATGGATGATTAACTAACTGTACGCGTGGCTTCGCTCGCGCGAGACAGTACATAAAGTATTTTTTATTCTAAGTTAAAATACAATTAATTTTCACGTAAAAACTACTGAATTTTTAAACCAAAATTCAGTAGTTTGTGCGTGAAAAAGCAACAAACATTTATCCATTCTCACAAATTTCGCGTTTATACTCGCGTCGGCACTAGGATAATGGAATAGTTACCCTGCCTACGTTAAAACTCAAAAATGGCTTGAGCGATTTGAAAATATTTTTTCGTTTTATTACTTGTAACAAAGAAATATATAAAAAAAAATTTAAAAGATAATTTTGCGTGAGAGTTGTTACTTCGAAAAATTTTCAATAGATGGCGCTATAGGTAATACAATATTCACCGTTAGTAATAAGTATATACAAGCGGTTACGTGGACTAGATATGAATTGTGAATTGTGAAACATACTAAAGATTCATAAGTGCTTAATCCAACTTATTTTCAAACGGATACTCAAATTATATCTGCGTACAAATATAAATGGTCGATAATAATATATTTTATTTGTGTGCCCTCATTAACGGCGCAGATTATATGGATACGACACGTAATCTATGTAGTTTTAGTGGACAAACGGAAACCATGGCGGCCATTATTACCATAGATACATTAAGAAATCCCATCGCCTGTGAGCATTGGACGTTATACTTCTTTTCATTGTAAACGGTCATTTTTTATAAACGAATTTGAATCAAAGAAATCAACGCATAAAGCCTTGTAAGTGGTGATTTTGTTCATGCTGATTCCACCATTGACTATTCTGTGGTTTTTGGCTTCATCATCATGTCATCATAAATATTTCGTGGATACGAGGTATGATAAGTACTTTGGCTGCCTGAAGTGTTTCCACTTTCAAGCTTTATGGAAATTTAGCGTAAATACGTTTTAATTCTTATCTTTGACTTTGTCCGCATAACTGGGTTATAAATGACCTAGACAAAAACTACCCTTTCTTATCTACCCGGTTTTTTATAGATGATAATGGAATGGTAACCCCGCTTGCGGTAACGGTATACACTGGCGGGGCACCAGTTAGGAATGATAAGTGAGGTTGAATAGACAGGTTAGTTAGCCCATCGTGACAAATGCACGTGGTATTCGCCAAGGGGAAATACTCAGGGGGACCATGTGGGAATCGACCTGTAAGGGTATATTGCTAGCAAGATACTTTGCAGACTGGTAGACCGCAATACTAACAATAGCTTCCGGATATTATGACTATAATTTCATAATAAGTCGTTAAGCGATTAAGCCGCCAAGATGTAACAAACAAACAAATTTACAGGTCGACCTCCACGCGGTCATCTTGAAAATCAGCGTGTATAATTCTCGACTTTGTCGCGGCGTGGTTGATCTAAATCCACTTAATCCTCACCTACCACTCGCTGTCACCCTGCGAGTGTAAATCGACAGCACAGGTGTGGCTACCATTCCATTATCATCCTTATAAAACTCCAAATCAATGGATGCACCAGGCTGAGAGTAAGTAGGGTCATACGTATGTATGTATGACAGATGAAGGTATGGGAACGAACATATGGCATGCCTAAATCGGAAGCGGCTCATTGCGAATTAATAGATTGCAGGAGAGCACTTCAGTGCACGTGTAATAAATTATGTAGTACTTTGTCAGAGTAGACTCCTTGCTAACTACAGTATCTTGTTGATTGTAACTGAGTCTTAGAGGCTGGTCACCTCACCGGCTATCTACTATATATTCTAAACTACGGTTCAGACAACTGCAAAATAAATACTAGCTTTTACCCGCGACGTAGTCCGTGTGTTCGGGATTAAGTTAAAATATATATATTATATCCCCTTAGATTATATAAATAGAGTGTCTCCATGTAAATTCTTCGAGGAAAGCGGGTCAACTTTTTCATACAATTTTGCGTGGTAAATAGATATGAGTGATTCCTTTATAACTTTTATATTTATTTTA